TTTCGCTAAAACACTTTCTTTTATTTTCGTTTGTGTTTTTTTGCTCATTACAGTTTAGTAGAACCTAAGTATGGAGTTTAATAAAATAAAGAGGCCGCGTGATTAACAGTCAATCTCGCGAAATAATAGCCAATATTATAGAGTTTATGAGAAGAGAAGGAAACTTTAATTCACCTTCAATACCATTTAAAAAATGTAAATGATCGTGTTGCTGCAGCCACAGGAGTATCTAAAAACACTGTCGTCCGCATTTCTGGAGAGAGAAAAAAAGAATCGATAACCGTGAGATATCGGAATTTTCATCACCAAGAAAAACCATTAAAAAACCAAAAACAGTTAATGATATAGATGAAGCTGCACAAGAATCAAATTTTATTTTTTTATTATTAGATAGCTATTTTTGTTTCTGAGTTGTGTTCATTTACAGGCTCAATTTTTTTCCGTTTCTCCTTTTTGATTTTATATGGGGTTTTAAGTTTGTTTTTTGACTTATTTCGACGTAAATCACAACAACACACTTTTTTTATAAAGCAAACAAGTGTTAAGAGGTATATGTACGTGTAAACTACAATTACAAAAAATTGATATGAAACCCATGAAACCACCAACAAAAATGTAAAGCCTAGCTTCCGTACTAGAACATGGTGTCATTCGTCGAAATAATTTATCGTTTTGTTTAATAGATCAAGAAATGTAAATATTCCCCTGTTATTTTTTATAAAATTATAAGAGAAATAAATTTTTTTCTAAATAGTATAGTTTATTATTTTGTAGAAGAAAACAAAATTTCAGAAAATTTTAGTATTGTTTCAGAAACGACCGTTATTAAATAATAGGTACCATTTTCCTTAATAAGGTAGAAATAAAATATAAACTATTTCCACGATTTACAAAGGCCTACAAAAAAAATTATAGGTATTTCTCCGCTATCCTATAAAATTTATATTTTCTGACTCAATTTCAAAAGGTTGAAGGAATTCCAAAACACCTTTTATGGCATAATAATTATTTTCAATTCTACATACTATCTTTAGCTGCTTTTAAAAACGTTCTAAGAAAGTCCAATCAGACCAATTTAATCCCTAAACTATTCCACACTTTTAAAATTTAATTACCTAAAAATATTAAAAACTATTTAAAATAACTTATTTAGCAGACTGTACAATAGCTATCTTAGTCACACGTAGCGCGTTCTCTGTCTGGGCGCTTCGAACACCTCTAGAAATTTGATGAACTGTAGCTATTTATGTACCAAGGGGCGTAATAAGGATGATTATGCCCGGAGGATAACAGATCTCAGCCCGAGGGCCTTTGGCCCGAGGGATGAATGTTATCCGATAGGCATAATCATCTATTTACGCCCGTGGTGCATACAAGATTTTATATTTCACTTCAATTAAATTCGCTTTTAATTCAATATAATTGGATTCGGTTAATTTTTATAAAAAAGTGTAAACTATTTGACAAGTATCAACGCACAAAACAATTCCTGAAATAAAATCAACAAGTACACCTTACCATAGCAACGTAGCACGCTTTGATTAAATTTATATAATACATAACAGAAAGTTTTGAAATAAACGTCAAATATTCAGTTTGTTTACATTTTGAAATTTGCAATAAGTTTTTATAAAATCAGGGAAACCGTTTTAATTAAAGTTCATTATTTATAACAAGTCTTTCTTAATGATAAATAGTTTTTTGAAACAGTACAAACGGGGGCATAATAGCGGGCCAAATGAATTCATTATGCCCCTCGTCTCTAATGATACATGTTTACCATATCTCGAATCAGGCGCGAAATGAACCTGTTATAGTGAAATGAAATATAAAAACTTTTTCGTCTAAAAAGTGACACCAACAAAACGTGTATCCTTCTCTAACTATTTACAAGTAATAAACAGTACGCAAGTGATTTGAATTTTTTGTTGTTTTTTTTTTTTTTTTTTAATTAAAAATTATGTAATTCACCGAAGTTTTTTCGAGTTACGAAAAATTAATTCCAGCATGTTTGTTTTTGTTTGTTTTTCTTTGTTTTTCTTTGTTTTTCCTTTGTTTTTCTTTGTTTTCTCTTTGTTTTCTTTGTTTTTCTTTGTTTTTCTTCTGTTTTTCTCTTGTTTTTCTTTGTTTTTCTTTGTTTTTCTTTGTTTTTCTTTGTTTTTCTTTGTTTTTCTTTGTTTCTTCTTTGTTTTTTCTTTGTTTTTCTTTGTTTTTGTCTTTGTTTTTCTTTGTTTTTCTTTGTTTTTCTTGTTTTTCTTTGTTTTTCTTTGTTTTCTTTGTTTTTCTTTGTTTTTTCTTTGTTTTTCTTTGTTTTTCTTTGTTTTTCTTTGTTTTTCTTTGTTTTTCTTTGGTTTTTCTTTGTTTTTCTTTGTTTTTCTTTGTTTTTTCTTTGTTTTTCGTTTGTTTTTGTTTGTTTTTGTTGTGTTTGTTTGTGTTTTTCTTTTGTTTTTCTTTGTTTTTCTTTGTTTTTTCTTTGTTTTTCTTTGTTTTTCTTTGGTTTTCTTTGCTTTTTCTTTGTTTTTCTTTGTTTTTTCTTGTTTGTTGTTTTGTTTTGTTTTGTTTGTTTGTTTGTTTTTCTTTGTTTTTCTTTGTTTTTCTTTGTGTTTTCTTTTGTTTTTCTTTGTTTTTGTTTGTTTTTGTTTGTTTTTCGTTTGTTTTTGTTTGTTTTTGTTTGTTTTTGGTTGTTTGTCTTTGTGTTTTTCTTTGTTTTTCTTTGTTCTTTGTTTTTGTTTGTTTTGTTTGTTTTTTTGTTTGTTTTTCTTTGTTTTTCTTTGTTTTTCTTTGTTTTTCTTTGTCTTTTCTTTGTTTTTCTTTGTTTTTCCTTTGTTTTTCTTTGTTTCTTTTTCTTTGTTTTTCTTTGTTTTTCTTTGTTTTTCTTTGTTTTTCTGTGTTTTCTTTGTTTTTCTTTGTTTTTCTTTGTTTTTCTTTGTTTTTCTTTGTTTTTCTTTGGTTTTTCTTTGTTTTCTTCTTTGTTTTTCTTTGTTTTTCTTTGTTTTTCTTTGTTTTTTCTTTGTTTTTCTTTGTTTTTTCTTTTGTTTTTCTTTGTTTTTCTTTGTTTTTCTTTGTTTTTCTTTGTTTTTCTTTGTTTTTTCTTTGGTTTTCTTTGTTTTTCTTTGTTTTTCTTTGTTTTTCTTTGTTTTTCTTTGTTTTTGTTGGTTTTCGTTCAACTATTTTAGGATATAAAAACAGCGATGTATTCGTTTCAATATCCACTAAAACCTGGAATTTTTATATATTGTGAGAAACATAAAAACAATAGAACAAAAATGTCTTAATGCAACAAAAACGTCTGAATGTCGTTACTGTCAAAATCTCACGACAATGAGAGAAAAACTAGTACCTATTATATTTTTCTGTATATATAATTTAACTAGTTCAATTTAATTTATTTTCCTTCTTATTTTTAATAATATATTTGTATGTATTGCCATTACTTTAGTTAAGTTTATTTTGGTATTTTATTTTTGTAAAATAAATTTAATTTTAAACATAATAAGTATTAGATCTGAATTTGATTAATTGATAAAAGCCTTCCTCCTAAATACAATTAGTTAGTTTTAATTTCAAGCAATATAAAGCTAAATCTCCATTGCCGTGTAAATGCGGGCGGCGCACCCGGTCTTTTAAAGTCTGATTAGCGCGCCCTTCCGAAGGGTTAAATATATAGCTAATTAATATTCAAAAACATTGATATTTACAGCACTAAAGTTAAATGTTAAATTCTGTAAATTAATTAAAATTATCGGCTAGAAGAAATTTTAAATAAAATTAAAACCGCAAGTCGATTATACGATATATTTTTGCGTTTTCGAGTATAGAGCGGTCGAAAACTGGGAGAAAATTGTCGAAAAGTGGGGGTAAGAATATTTTTCCGTCTAATACAATAAATGTACTGTTAGGTTATTATTAAAAAAACTCTCAGTAATTTGTTCCTTTAAAGCGCAGCAGTTAATAAACCTAAAATTACAATAACCACATAGCCGCATCATAACCATATCTGTCCCCCATTGTTATTCAAATTTTGCAATGAATCAATTTAATGAGAAAAATTTAGAGGGAAAATGCCGCTGATTTTTTACCCGGATTACGACACGCTCCGTAAATTATCGATTCTCTTCAGCGTTTTGGCGATTTTGCACTTCCACACTCTTCTTGAAACTTTTCCGAGCTGTTTTTTTTATCTATTTCCACCTTTTTCAATATAACCACTTTTCGTATAATCGTAGAGTAGAAATAAACCCTTATTTCGTATTCAAGAAACCGTACGAGAAATCAAATCAATTAACGTATATTTCGCAAAAGTAACAAAGAATAAACTGTAAAATTAATTATATCGGCCAATTGTGTCCTTCTGTAACGATTCGTTTTTAAAATTAAAAATAATATCCATATCACAAAGCGATCCAAATTAGTTTACGTTTACTGTTACCCTCAATATTTTGTTCCGGAAACGTTGCATTATATTTATGAAATTTTTACTGGCACATTCCTAGAGTTGTAGGCCTAATCAACAATACCAAAATCAAAATTATCAAAATAAAAATTATCACCATCAAAATTATCAAAACCAAAATTATTAACAGGTTAAGTGCCGTGAGAAGCCAACTTGAACTTACGTATAAAAGTGACATACGGGCCGCGTGAGTCCGACATGGACTCATATGCTTGTTCGTCAGAAAATATTAGGCGTTTTTCTTTAACCTAACTACAAGTAACTTTAGGTTACTCCACAATTTTCTTTGGGATTTCGGCTAACCAATGACGTCACAGGTAACTACTTGAAGTAACCACCAAAGACGGATGGTTAAGTAGTTTGTATTTGTGTCTTCTTCTATAAGAGAAAGATATTGGATAATACACCGTAATTTTAGTTCTGTGCATTAAAAAATAAATGTTCTGTGACGAGTTGACATTGTTGACAAAAACGTAAAGAATAACTTTCTTTTCTGTTTGTTGCATAAAAAAATATAGTTTGTTGGGTTTTTGAGAAATTTTAGCAGATGCATAGTACGGAGATATATATAAATAATGTATTATACACGATAACTGATGAGGTTGCAGTTATAAAACGAATATTAACGGGTAAGTTAAAATGTAACAAAATAAGTGTATGATTTTAATTTACAAAATTTTAGATGAGGAGTATGCCACTTCGTTTATTATTGGACAAATTGAAAATGGCGACATAGATCTAGAAGGAAGTGAAACATTAGATATTCAATTTCAACGTCCATCGTCCCCTCCTTCACAAATAGAATTAAATTGCCTGCCATTAAACAATAAAAGTAATTTTCTAAATATACCTTCGACAAGTTCTGGCTGTACTAGTAGCATACCTTCAAGTTCTACTTCTACTAATATAATACCCAGTGATGGTAATAAAAATATAAATGTGTGGCAGCAAAAAGGAAAGCCTAATGAAATGGATGGAAAAGTAACTTGTTTGTTATTAAAACTGCGAGGCTCAACCATATATACAAGAAAATTTAATGATAAATGTTCAGTGAAAAATAAACTGTGGGAGGAGATTGCAAAAAAAATGGGAGAAGAAGGCTTTTGTGTAAGTGGTGTACAGAGCCAACAAAAGTTCATGAATTTATCAAAAAAATACATAATGACCTTCCTAGAGTGAACACCACGTTTCAGTGAGCTCCGATGTTTTCAAAAATTTAGTGGTACTTTCAATAGAAATAAAGGTTAATTAGTAAAAACTCGTTCATAAAGTGACATATTGTGTTGAATTAGTGAATTTCAAGCCATAACTGCAATTAATAAGGTATTTTTTTAAAAACATTTAAGTAATATCGGTGTTGCCATGTCTCCAACTGCTAACACACGAGCTAACAGTGCATCTAATCATTTTGACGATACTCAATTAGAAAGCATGATTACAAAAATATCTTCAAAATTGCTTAACAAAATTAACGACAAATTGGAAAAAATGACAAATAGGTTTGATACCATAGATGATACGTTAAAGTCCCTCGATGCTAAATTAAGTCATTTAGAAGATGTAGAACAAAATAATGTGAAGCAAATCATTTCAATTAATGAAAAATTAGATGAGCTAAATCAAAAATCAAGAATGAATAGTCTACGTCTAGTTGGTATAATAAATTATACTTATAAATTATACTTATAATAATTAATTGAGCTCACTGAAGTCATAAAACATGAATAAAATTAATGTGTATTTTCAGAATTGTAGAGGTTTATACAGTAAAACCAACGATTTTCTTAGAAGTTCGTTAGATCATAACTTCGACATCATTCTAGCTGTGGAAACATGGTTGCAACAAGGGGTGAATGATGGCGAAATTATAGATACAAATATGTATCACTTAGTAAGAGCAAATAGAGATCTAGAACTTACAAATAAGGTAAGAGGTGGGGGTGTTTTTCTTGCTTTAACCAAAAAGTATAAACTAATTAAAACTGTTAAAAAATGTAGTAATTTTGAAGCATTAGCCGTACATTTTAAAATAGGTAACAAAAAATTTACTTCTATAGTTTTATATATACCTCCAAATAGTTCAAATCATGTTTATGAATCACTTTTTAACTTTGTACAGGAACAGACAGTTGATATTGAGAGTACATACATATTTGGAGATTTCAATATTAATGATATTACAGGGACTAACTTTAGTTTCAACAGAGCTCTAAACCAAAAATTAAACATCTTATATCAATTCTTAAATTTTAATACCTTCACATTTTTTAATAATGTTAAAAATTTTCAAACTAAAACTCTTGACTTGGCAATTTGTTCCGAAAATAATAAACAGTACTGTAATGTAGTTAGAGATTCTACTCCATTCGTTAAAGAAGATTTATACCATCCGAGTCTTGACATAATAATTAAATATACCAAAACCGAAAAATCATACAATCATACAACGCAAAAAATTACCGAAAATCGATACAATTTTAAAAAAGCAAACTTTGAAAGTCTTGCGTTTAAGGTGCGGGATACGGATTGGACAGCAGTTTTGTTGGAATTAAATGTAAACGCAGCTCTAGACACCTTCTATAAAATATGGAATGCTATTTTATCACAGTGTGTTCCTAAGTTTAAAAAATTCGAATATTATAATAAATTTCCAATCTAGTTTACGAAAGAAATAAAGGAAGCATTGACAGAAAAATGTAAGTATAGGAAGCTACAAAATATATCAAATTTTTATAAAGAAAAATATTTAGAAATGAAAAGACATGCTAAAGCACTTGTAAAAAAAGAAGAGAGTAGGTACCTCAAAGAATTGCAAGAAAATGTGGGTGTTGATATTAGTTGTTTTTGGAATTATGTTAATAATAGAAGAGAAAACTGCACAGTAAATAGTAATTTTATCTATCAAGGAAATATAGTGGAAGATCAAAAAACCGCAGATGTTTTTGCGGAATTTTTCTCTTCTATATATGACATTAATAAAGCTGATTACAAGTTAAATTTTAATAACGAAGTGAATAATATTTGCGATTCTCTTTTAATTAAAAACATTTATGATGTTGATTTTGATAATGCGGTCAAAAAATTAAAGCCGAAAAAAGCTGAGGGTACGGATGGTATTCCACCATATGTTTTAAAAGGTTGTAGTGAATGGCTAAGAAAGCCCCTTACTTATATTTTTAATTTAATTCTCAACACAAAAGTATTTCCAGTGCAATGGAAAACTGCTGTCACTACACCGATTTATAAGTCTGGTGGAAAATCAAATGTAGAAAATTACCGGCCTATTTCGATAATGTGTGCCCCATCTAAACTATTTGAACAGATAATATATACCAAATTATATAAATACGTAGAAAAATACATAGTATCTCAGCAAAACGGTTTTATGTCAAATAAATCTATAAATACTAATTTGTTCATTTTTGGAAATCAAGCATTCGAAACTTTGGGAGCTAAATGGATACAATTTTTACAGATTTTCGAAAAGCATTTGATCGTGTAAATCATGATGTACTTCTAAGAAATCCTCTCACTAGTTTCATTCAATGTTCCCGGACGGCGAACACGCACAATGTTAATGTTTCATATATCACATATACTTCTTACAGTTAGGGCACCTCTTGTAACTATTTTGAAATTAATCAATAACTACAACTTATTGGTGGATATAGATTGGTCTCTACCTCAAAACATATTTTACAATCGTATATTGAGTCACATTTTAAATATTTCCATATAATTGTATTAAGCCACATTTCAAAAATTTCTATAAAAAACTTTAACAACTCTGGTGAACTGTTTAAACCTCTACAATTCTTAGATAAAATTTAATAAAATAAATGTTAAATAGGATAATACGTATCGATTTGTATTAACCATGTAATAAGGCCTTTGTCTGTTTGGTTAAAAATAAATAAATAAATAAATAAATAAATAAATAAATAAATAAATAAATAAACTTTCAACGCCATGTACACCAGACAGGGGTTGAACGAAAAGAACCTCCCCACCTTTACGATGACTTAGATAAGATATTGGGCAATAAGGATAAAGTTACCCTGAACAATATCATGGATTCCATGGAATTTTCGAAGGAACCTCCGAAATTTGATGAAAGTCAATCTGAGATATGTGAAGAAAAACCACCAGTTTTAAAGGTTAAAAGTGTAAAAAAAACGACATTGAAACCATCTACGGTAACAAAAGCTACAATTTTGGAGACAATCCAAGACTGTAGCCAAAAGCAACAGGCAGCTCAAGACCAGCAATTCCAAAAAATGTTTAAGCTGATTGAAGATCAGAACAATATTTTGAGAGAACAGAATGTTGGACGAAATAAGCTAATCGATTTGTTTGCTGCAAGTTTGTTAAAGAAAAAAAGAAGACGCCATCATTCATCGGATGACTTGTCAGATAATTAGAAAAAAATCCGTATATTGCCTACCTAGTTGATTTTTAAGTTGTTTATATTACCCAGTTCATTTTTATGTTATTGATTCTATTACCTAGTTTTTATTTGGAAGTTAATGTTTTAGTCGTTTCTATTAGGTACTTGCCTCGTTTTTTTTTTTTAGTTACTGATTCTATTACTTAGTTTTTTATTTTTAAATTGTACATAGTTTGTTATAAGAATTAAAAAGCTGTGTAGTTCATTTTGTAGTTTTATTAATAAAATCGCTTATTCTAATAAAAATGCACATATTGTGTCTCTTTTCATTCTTCCATCATTGTCCTCTTGATCATTAATATAATTATTGTCCCAGTTTTCATAAATATAAATATCATTTTCTTCAAAATTGTCATGAGCTCTAATACAAAAATTGTGCAAGTAGCAACATGCAGTAATTATCTGGACAACCTTCTTTACAGAGTATACATTGACAAAATTCAAAATTCTCCAACGTCCTTTTAACTGGCCAAATGTATTTTCAATAATAACTCGAGTTTTTGACAATACTGTGTTATGATTTATTTTGGCTCTACTTAGATTATTGTGATTCCTAAAACAAAATAGTTTTGAATAATACCTATAGAAAAAAATATATATACTTTTAAAAAATGGTACATCTAAAAGAATTGAAAATAAATAGTCATAAAGTGCATAAATTCTTAGAAATACCTACATATACACAAAATATGTAAGGTTTGTATAGTTTAAAAAATGAATTTAAGGTTTATCATTTGTAAGATAAGATGTGCTAAATTTTACTTTAATAAAATATTTTCTATTCTAGGTGTACCTATCACTTTTTATATAAAATTGAAATATAAATTGCTGAAACCTAATTTTAGTTATCTACCTATAAGGTTTCATTAGCCAAGATTTACAAGGGTATGCAGAATCTCCTATTTTATGGTATCTATTGAAAAATAAATGCTCTGGACCCATTTGTATAACTACCCTATGTAAATTTGTTTCCATAAGAACCTAAAATATAGGTACATAATTTTATTTGTGTTAAAAAAATGGTCTCTTCAATACAATAAAGAAAAAATATATCAACCCTTGCATCATGAAGAGATCCTGGATATCCCACAGAAATATTCGTCAGCAAATAATTTGGTAGGCAAACAGCCTGCATATTTACAGTGTGCCTAAATTTTCGGTTTTGGTAACTATCATGTTGCAAATTATTAATTTTTGCTTCAAAGTGGCATCCATCAATTGCTCCTATAACACCTGAGAAGATATGTTAAGTTATAAATAAGATATATATTTATTTTGGATAGATGTGTAGCTCTTAAAGTAATTTTAATACTAACCGGGGTAGCCTGCTGTAAGTCTAAACTGTTCCTCAATACTATGGCATTGCTCTTCAGTTGGCCACCTTATTACAGAAGAGGAGAGTAAGCACATGTATTCCAAACACTTTTCTGTTACATTATGTACAGATTTAATGCAAACATTGAATGTATTTGAAATTGAGACCAGTGTATCTCCTTTTGCCAAATACCAAATGACAATTAACAGAGCCTTTTCCACTGGCAACGGTAAGATAACACCTCTTCCTCTAGTTAAGGGGTCCATATAGTGCCTTCCAACACAATTTAATAACTTTTTAAAAGTTTTTTCTGCATTCGAAAATGGATAAAAAAATCACATTCAATGTAATTGCCAATCCATGTTTCATAAAATTCGCCAATTCTTAAATGGGTTTCATCAAGTAATAATACTAAATAATTCCTAAAAGAAACAAACACTTGTAATAAAAAATTCGGCATCCACTTAAAAGTTTACCATACCACAGCGAATTGTCAATGGAAATATTTTATAAATTTATATATATTCCAACATTATTAAATTGAACACTGTTAATTTCATCCAATAATATTGCTTCTAAATTTTTTTTTCTTTTTACGTGGCGGCTCCATTGAGTACAAAAAGAAAAAAGCCCCAAAAAGTAATAAATACGTGTTGTGACGTATTTAAATATTTAAAACAGACAGATGTCATGTGTCATGTTCAAAACTGACAGCATCTAACGGTGACGTCATACTATAAACTAACCTGGTTACTTAAAGTTACTTCAAAGAAAAACGTGTATCTCCACGCCGGCTTCTCGAATCCATTTAAAATACATAGGATCGTTTTGGGCTCGGCCAGATGGTCTGGAACCCGTGCTCGGCCTGTGCTTCTGAGAGGCCAACCCCTACTCACAT